CTGTGTTTTGCAACGTGACTGTGGCTTAGAGGCAAGATTCTAACCAGCGTCAGTTTCAGGCAGGAGATCGTGGCATCTCTTCCTCTGTCCTTCTTCCCAGCATTCAGTTCTGTCTTCTCCACCTACCTAAGTTCTGCCCTATCAGGCCAAGCAGTTTCTTTATTGATTAACCAATGAAAGCAACACATAAAGAGAAGGACCTCCTACAACAGAATTGAAAGTACTCCTGTAACATGAGGTGCCTGGCTTGTTTGTTTGAGTTTTCTGTCCTGCCCGGTACCCAACAACTGTTTATCCCCAAAGAAAATCACACATAGGTCTACATAAATTATAAACTGATTGGCCCATTAGCTCTAGCCTCTCACTGGCTAACTCTCACATCTTGATTAACCCATTTTTCTGATCTATGTTAGCCATGTGGCTAAGTACCTTTTTCAGTGAGGTAGATCACATCCTGCTGCTTTGGTGGTCTGGGCAGGAATGGGAGGAATCAACTTCCTTCTTCGCAAAATCTCCTGTTCTCATTACACCATTTCTACTTCCTGTCTGGTTTTCCCACCTATATTTCCTGCTTGGCCAATCAGCATTTATTTATAACATGATTGACAGAATACAGACAATTCTCCTGTACCACTTCCCCCTCTTTAAAAAAAAAAAAAGCAAAATATCCATAGTCCATTTTTTGGGAATGTGGGCATAGTATTCCAGGCTACTTCCAGCTGGTTGGGGGCACTGATAATCTTATGGGGACCTAAAGAAAATTTAGAGTTATTATCAAGTCCTGACTGAAGTATCCTGTGAGTATTGATCATTTCAGGCAGCAGTCTTGAACCTGTTTTGGATGACAAACTCAGACATCTGGGCCATCTATTCCTGTGGGAGATTTCTCAGGTGGCCTTCCTTGATCAAAGTTGATTTTTCTTAACTCTGAATAAATCCACAGCCTCTCATTTTCTGTGGAAACAAAAGAAAAATCTCTTCTCCAAAAACAGGCACCCAATGCAGGAAGATAGGCATGAATATTAGTGGGGAAACTGGGCTTAATAATTAAGGGTATGCACCACTTTGCTTCCCCCTGTAATAGATTGCCTCTTTCTATGATAGTATGGACATCTTCAGTATTTTCCTGAAGACCCCTCCCCCCATCTGCCATTCAGATGCTTGCAGACTTCTGTTGCTGAACATGACTTTCTTGAACCCTAACCTCAAAGGCATGGTTTCTCTTTTATCCAAATTCCTTGTCCCAGCAATAACCAAAGGTTGACTGTCCTGTTTTGTTTTTTTTTATGCCCTCAAAAACTAGTAAAATGGTCACTTTCAAATGCTTTTATTAATGATACCAAGAACCCCCCAAAGGAAGCCCAGTTTCCCCACTAATATTCATGCCTATCATCCTGCATTGGGTGCCTGTTTCTGAAAGTGCCTCATTCATTCAGTCAGGTTGGCCCTGCCATTTCCTGTATCACTCTGTGCTCTGTTTCTGTATCACTCAGAGACTTGAAATTCTGCCTCTAGTTATGTTCTGCCCTGCTAGCTGTGGTATTCTTCATGGCTGTCGATGCCTGACCTACAAGGACCCCTACAGATCACATTGATACAGCTGGAAAATTCCCCTAGGGCACTCCCAATTCCCCCAAAGAATCCCCCATCTTCTCACATACTGGTTTCCCAGTGACCTCCCCACATCACTTTATTAAAATTCTATTATTTTTGTATTTCATGTGTATAGATGTATTGCCTGTGTGTATGTTTGTGCACCATGTACATGCTTGGTGCGTGTAGAGGCCAGAGGACTCCTGGGGCTGGAGTTATAAATGTTTGTGGACCATCATGTATATGCTGGGAACCGAACCCTGGTCCTCTGCAAGAGCAGCCAGTGCTCTTAACCACTAAGCCATATCTTCAGGTCCTCTCCAGTCTCCTTATTACAGACATATTCACAACATTCTCTCTCCTTCGAAACATTCCAACTTCCCTAATATTAGTCAAATTCTTCTTGTTTCAAGCCAATCCCCCTATCACACTCCATTCATCCCAGCAGGCTTTGGTCATTGAATTCCTTGACTGACAATCCTAACAGCCCCCCTTCCCCACCCCACCCCCATCTCTCGTCCCTTCACCTCCTTCTGCACGAGGATCACTATGGCAACAGCAACATTCGTATTTCTCCATTATAATGAGATGCGCCCGTTGCCATGGAAACCACACACACGTGCAGGCGACCAGGACCTGGGCTCAGTAACTGTCTGAACTTGAGAGCAGTGCTATTGTTCCCCTAGTAAACACCTTCCCCATCCTCCTACTCTCCCTTTCCCGGACTAAGAGCCCACAACCTCCCAATCAAGCTAGTTAAGGGCAGACGCTGGTGCCAGAGACTCTGGTTTAGTAACAAGGCTTGGACACTGTGCATGCGCTCTAGCTAAGCACGAAGGGCACACACACACACACACACACACACACACACACACACACACAGAGAGAGAAGGCGGAGCAACGCCCAGCCTGATGGAAGTTGTAGTTTCCTACGTTCTACAGCACTACAGCAGATGACCAATGGATGGGTGAATTGGATGTGGGACAAGGTTTCTGAAGCTGGGATCTAAAGGGTAAGCAGGTATTGTCGCCACAGGAACGATACAGCGGCAACCCTCCCAGCTGATTCGCCATTTTCTTTTCATCTTTCTACCTCACAGCTTACTCTGCACCAGAAATCCTGGATACAATGGAGAACTAACAAGATTTTTTTTTCCTTACTGGGAGGGTGGAGTGTTGGTTATAGACTGATAATAATTTCATAGGTCAATGATCAAAAACAGTATGCTAATAGTGACAGGAAAGAAGACATGCAAGTAATGTTAGAATCTTTGTACACGCGTCCATTTACCCCACAGAACCCTGTGAAGTAAGCACTATTATTATCCCCAAACTGTAACCTAAAGGAGCCAGGAAAAGGCTCAGCAGGTGAGAGCATTTGCATTCACCCCGACCACCAGGGTTGAAACCCATGGAAACAAGAACCTAGTTTCTAGCAAGTCATCCTCTGTCCTCCACATATATGCTGTGGATTAGGCACTCACACACACACACAAACATATACAAAGTTAATTAGTAAGCACATTAATTAAAACATGTAACATAAAGAGGTTAACTAACTGAAAACTACGTGCATGGAGCCAAGGATGCAAGTCCAGGCAATATGTTTTCATACTGGTAAATACATGATAAACTTCCAGAAGATGGCGTGTATCTAAGAGGATGAGGCAGAGAAAGCCCAAGCATGGGGTGAGGTGATTTAGGGACACTACTCAGGGGTGGTCTTCAGTAGATGAGTCTTGCGCTGGCCCAAAGGGACTGACTTTACTCACCAGCTCGGCGCCTGGAGCATAGCCCAGGAGTTGCTGTCCCAGTTCGCTTTGTGCTGTTGTGATAAACACCATGACCAGAAGCAGCTCGGAAAAGGAAGGTTTATTTGACTTACTGGGAACTGGTACTTCATCAAGGGAAGCCAGTGCAGGAATGCTGCTTACTGGCTTGCTTAGTTCCTTTTCTTTTCTTTTCTTTTCTTTTCTTTTCTTTTCTTTTCTTTGTTTTTCTTTTCTGAGATAAGGTTTCTCTATGTAGCTCTGCTGTCCTAGAACTCAATATGTAGACCAGTCTGGCCTCCAACTCACAGAGATTCACCTGTCTCTGCCTCCCTAGTACTGGAATTAAAGGTGTGCACCACCATGCCTGGTTTAGTTATCTTTCTTAAACAGGCTAGGCCCACTTGTCTAAAGATGATACCTACAGTGGGCTGGGCCCTTCTACATTAATTAATAACTAAGAAAAATGATTCACAGACATGTCCACAAGGCAACCTGATGGAGGTTATCTTAGTTTGCTTTCTGTTGCTGAAACAAAATGCCATGACAAAAAGCAACTTGGGAAGGAAAAGGTTTATTTAGCTTGCATATCTCAGATTACAGTCCTTGGAGAGAAACCAAGACAGGAACTCAAACCAGGAACCTGGAGGCAGAACCTGAAGCAGAAGCCATGGAGGAACACTGCTTACTGGCTTGCTCACTATGGCTTGCTCAGCTTGTTTTCTTATATTACACAGGACCATCTACCAAGGGGTGGCACCACCCACAGAGGACTGAGCTTTCCACTATCAATTAGCAACCAAGAAAATGCCCCACAGACTTGCCCACATGCAATCTGATAGAAGCTGAGGATCCTCTTCTCATTTGACTCTAGCTCATGTCAAGCTGACAAAACCAAACCTAACCAGGACACAGGCAGCTTCTTAGCTGAGATTCCTCCTTTTCAGTTAGTTAGACTTGTCAAGTTGACAAAAACTATGAGGGTCACTAACCTTGACTTTTCTTTTTGCCTTCCCTAAGGGCATTTTTTAAAAATAAATACTGTCCATGGGCCAAAAATAAGCTTCATTCTGTTTTGTTTTTGGCAAACATTTTTTCAAGGTGAAGTTCCTTATGAGAGCCATACTCCTTTACCTAAATCTCTTTCTATGCTCTATTTCTGTTTTTAAAATTTAATTTCTCTCTGCTGTGTGTGTTTCTGTGTGTCCATGAAGGCCAGAAGAGGGCATCATATCTCCTAGAGTTATAGATGGTTGTGAGCCACTCCCTGTCACAATGGGGCTGTACTTAGGTTCTCTGTAAGGACAGAGAGTGCTCCTAACCACCAAGCCACTTCCACCCCTATTTCTAATGTTCTCCCATATCAATGTTGTTCTGTGGACTGTGGGAAACAAGGGTGTAGAGAATCCTCTTGGGTGACTCAAGACACATCAGCAATAAATGTTTATTATTGTATATCTAGGATGTGTTTTGTTGTTAGCACAGCATCGGTGTAGCCACAGACAACTGACAGCAAATCCAGTCAACATTGTGACTTATGGATCACATAAGATCTAAATATGAGCATTTGATACTAGGACTTCAAACAGGTATCTTCTTTGTCCAGGAGGGGCAGTGTGTGTGTGTGTGTGTGTGTGTGTGTGTGTGTGTGTGTTCCAACACACAAAGGGCAGAACAAAAGAGGAGAAACCTGTCATTGGAAACCCCACATTCAGGTGTACTTAGAGTCTTTGACACCTTGTCTGAACCAGAGTGGTCTTTTACCTTAATTTTTTTTTTTTTTTGCTATTCTAAGTGTGTCTTGTGATCCATTAGTAACAGAACCATCATCTTTCTTGAAGATATTGCTCCTCCCTGACCTGCCAAATCCAACTCTGTGCCTCAACAAGTTTTGCTTTTCATCTCTACATGGAAGCCCAAGCAAAATCTACCTCAAGCTGGGTTTTGTAGCCTACTCTTGATATGGGTCCCTTTCAGTTGTGCACACAGAACCCCAATGTCAAGCTACTCTTAATCATTAACATCCTTCACTTCAGAAGCACTACACCAGAACAAAGCCTATGACCTGGAACCAGAGTCCAACAGAAATCGAGATTTCTAGATTATTCTCTCTCTCTCTCTCTCTCTCTCTCTCTCTCTCTCTCTCTCTCTCTCTCTCTCTCTGTGAATGCATGCATGTGAAGGTGAGAGAACAACTTTTGGGAGCCAGTTCTCTCCTTCCAATGTGGGTTCTGGAGGTTGAATTCATTTTATCAGGTTTGCAAGGCAATCTTTTTTGTTGTTGTTCTTTGTTTCATTTTGTTTTGTTGAGACAGGGTTTCTTTCTGTAATGGTTCTGGCTGTTCTAGAACTTGCTTTGTAGACTAGACCTCAAACTCATAGAGATCTGCCTGCCTCTGCTTCCCAGGTGCCATAACCACCTGGCAAAGCAACTTTTCTAAATTTTATTTTTTTAAAAATTTTAACCTGATGAGCCATCTCTTTGACATTAGATGTTCTTCATCTCCCAGTTCTCTGCTCCTTCTCAGTATGGGCTTCATCTCCACACTGGCCTAAGGTGATTGGTGGTGAGTAGGCCTAGAATCACCACACATCTCATTTTGGAACATTTTAAGAGTAAGACAACTGGGCGGTGGTGGTGCACACCTTTCATCCCAGCACTTGGGAGCCAGAGGCAGGTGGATTTCTGGGACTTCAAGGCCAGCCTGGTCTACAGAGGGAGTCCCAGGACAGCTAGGACTGTTACACAAAGAAGAAACCTTGTCTTAAAAAAAAAACCCAAACCAAACCAAAAGAGTGAGACAATCTTTCCTAGAAGTCCTGCCTCTGCTTGAGAAGACTCAATGGGCCAAAATCCCATTCTCAAACTAATTACTCAGAGGACTTGGGCATGGCCAAATGTCTGGAAATTGCTATGGTTGTGAAGTGGTTTAGAAGAGGAAGGATGAGGGATGGAACATCAGCTGTCCTAGCAATGGATTAATTGTGAGCCCTCCATTCATCCTAGAAGAAATTCACTGACAGAAAGAACAATGGGATGCTCTGGGCCATTTCATTTTTTTCCTCTGGATCTGTGTCCCTCCCTCCCCCCAGAAGCCATGAACTCAGCCTAGAGACCAAAATAATGCTGTTTATTCCATGTCAAAGCACAGCCATTCAGTTAGTTCCCTTCCCTCCAAGGCAGTCTTTAGCTTGTCCCACTAGATCTTCAGAGCCATCTCCTCTGCCCCACCCCGAGAAATGGCCAAGTCCCCAGCTCATACTACCATATTTTCTCTTCCTATGCTTTGTCATGTTCCTTTAAAATTGTCTCCTCCCCCTCCACCCTCTTCAGTGTCTCACTTCCCCAGTCCTATCTCTTACCCTCCCTCCTATCTCTTCTCCCCCTTTCCCTCAGAAGTCTCCCCCTTTCTATCTTTTCTCTTCTCCTTCAGTCTTGTTCATTCTCCCTGGCCTCTCCGGTTTCAATCTTGTAGTCCCCAGGGCTCTCAGTTTACTTGTCAGTGTCCCCATACCTTGGCTTCTTTATGTGACCTCCACTGAGCCTTCCCCGTCCCAGCTCTGTCCTTTTCTTGTTTTCTGTCTTGGCTGATCCTGTCTACACCTCTCCTCATGCATTCTTCTCCAGAGTAATGTCCTTTTAATGTGCCTGGGCCATTAGCACTTCCCACAGGTGTGGCTCCAGGATCTCAGAGACCATAGTCAGCATCCCATAGGATGTAGAAGAGGGCCAAGAGGAGGTCCTTAGATGACTCAAGTGATTAGAAGGGCTGGGATGGCCCATTGGGCGTGAGCCCTGTTATCTTTGGGATCAAAGAATATGTTCCTGCCCTCCATGTGGAGGGTAGCAGGCAGGGGTGCACAGGGTCAGGGTTCCTGGGATCTCCCCCAGCAATCTCTGAGCAAATCCATGTGAAACAAGGCTGCTCCTGTGAGGAGACGAGCAGCAAAAAGGTGTCTGCAGGGCAGGCGTCTGGCAGCATGGATGGAGCAGCTGCAGTGTGTCAGGGCCCCATCCAGGAAGAAGTCTGAAGTGCCATCCTTAAGGGCAAAGCCAGTTCCGGTCCAGTGAAAACCTCGGGTTCCGTGCTGTCTGGCGAAGGCCAGCTCCTCGGCTACTAGGTCTGTCAGTTCTGGTCCGCAGGCAGCTCGGAACTTGGCTAATGGCTCACAGTCCACCCCCTCATCTCTGCAGGGGCGGCAAAGCCTCTTTGGCTCCCCTGGGCCTTCTTCACCTCCGTCTTGTACTATCTCCCCTGCAGCCAGGGACTCGACCCTTGTCATTGACCATTCTGGATGACCCTCCAACACAGTCCGCATAGGGGTGGTGCATGGTACACCATTCCCCAGCCCTGGAAGCCTCCCTCCTAAGTCCCCAAATTCCATCTGCTGTCCTTCATTCTTGGAACCCACAGTTCGGGGGCCCCCTTCGTCTCCATTTGCTATGCCTGTAGCTCTTGCATCCTCCAGATGAACAACAACGATGTCCTCCAGGCCCCGTCTTCTTTTGACTCGAAACCTCCCACCTCTGTCCTCTGCAATCTCTGATCCTTTCTGACCCTCACCGCCCCACCGGGGTCCCCTCTGATCTCCATTCTCAGGGACCCACTCTAAGAGCTTCTCCACATGGCCGTCCCCCCACCTCCTAATGTCTAGCCCCTTCTCCATGTCAAACTGAGGCCCTTTCCAATCTCGAGGTTTCGTTGGATGTGCCGTCTCCTCTTGCAATTTGATGTCCCTCCAGGGAATTCCTTCAAGACTTTTGGTCTTCTCAGACTCAATCTGGGCGCCCCTCTGGTCGGTGGACCCCAGCACCCTAACCCTTCCATCCTCCACCTGGGTTTCCCTCCAGTCTCTGACCTCTGGCCCTCTCAAGTGCTCTTTTTCCAGCTGGGCTCCTGTCCCTTCAGGGCCCCTCACCTTCTGATTCTCCAACCAGACTCCTTGACCATCTCTCAACTGTAATCCCTTTCCTTTCTCACTTTCTCGCTCAGACCCTCTCCAGTTGCTGGCCTCTGTACCCCTCACCTTCTCTATCTCCATCTGTGCCCTATTCCTAGACTCACTCTCCAGCAACACTCTGTCACCATGAGCACCCTCGGAGGCTGCCTCTCCAGTCGCATCAGCCCACTGCATGGCCACTAGGTCGCGAAGGCACTGAGCCACACTGTGTGAAGGGCTGAGGCGGCGAAGAAGTCGCCTTCGATGGCCACGCACTAAAGCACAGGCATCCAGGTCACGGGTTGCTTCGTAGGCACGGAAACGTACCCACATGTCGTGGCGGGGTGCCCAGTTATGCTCAAAGTATCTGATGAAGGCAGTTGGAGCCTGGGAACGTAGCTCAGCCAGCGCCTCACTGTAAGCTGTATAGGACTTTGAATCTGCTAGGCGGCAGAGGAGTGGCCATAGGTCTGGATCCTCCTGGCTGGCACCGCCCAACTCCTGTGCCTTACTGAAGAGAGTCTCCAGACCCTGAGCTCGACAGATCTGCACGCGCGCACACGGCAACAGCTGGCGAACTGCACGCAGCTGCCCAGCCACCTCAGGTCCAGCTGTGAGGCAGCGCACGCGGCCTTTGACATCCGGAGCGCTTTGCAGCAGGGAGACCAGCATGAACCTCAGCAGGCTAGGCGTGCCGGGGCGCGCCACGCAACAGGCAGTCTGGCGCGCACGTCCTGCGCTGTCCACGCACAGCACTGCCATCAAGTCCAGCGCGCCCTGCAGCCCAGGCAGCCGGTCAACCAGCAAGATGCGCGGGAAGCGCCGCAGCAGCGCCCTGGTGCGTGATGTCAGGAGGAACACCGTTTCCACCATTGCTTGGTCCTCTACAAACACCAGTTTCACCTGCGGGCAAGGGTAGGGAGGCAAGGAAAGAGGTCAGGGCACACTGTGTGTGTGTGTGTGTGTGTGTGTGTGTGTGTGTGTGTGTGTGCCCATGTCCGCTCATGTGCGTCCTGCCCAGTTCCCAGGGCACATACTTCCTCTGTAGAAATGCAAATCCATTCGTTCATGCATTTGCATAGAATCTTTTGATTGGCAAGTGACAGTATAATAAAATCAAAATCAAGTGCTCTTGTAAACTAGTAGCTCTCCTGCGTTTGCGACCAGGACACCCCGATCTGATCTGATAATATTAGGGTATCTGTGATACTGTTAGACCCTTTATACTCTTCAGCTCTAGTTGCTATTCCTGGAAGCCGAGTGTTATTCCTTCCTGCACCCAAGAGCAGTCTATGCAAGGGCCTTAAGACCACTACCAGCAACAGGAGCTTCAAGAGACAAGCGACTGCCTGGACCCACTCTGCATCTGCTGGAGCTGAGACTTTGAACTTGCTTAGACAAGACTCCCTGGGAGTCCCCAAGGCTTTAATTTGAGGGTCACTGGTAAGTAGCAGATAATGGAGGTAGATCAAATGGTGGTGATTTGAGGCTCTCTTGTCTACCACATGGCTTGATTTTACCTCCCTGCCTCAATTTCCTCTTTAACCTCTGTTTCTGCTGGTTTCCTCTTGTAGGAACTGTTTATTCCTCCAAGTGAGGGAGCAGTAGTTAAAAACAAAGCTTTCTAGACCAGACTGCTCCACCCCAGGTCCTGCACCCCCTGCCTTCTGGTGGAGTGGCTTCTGGCAGCCTGAGTCACCTCCATCTCATCTCTAAAATGGCAACAGCAAGTCCTGTGACTAGAGGAATGAACTGCATTAATGTGTCTTGTATACTGCCTGGTGCAAGCAGCATCATTACTAAGAAGGAGTATGCACTTTCTAAGAGTACAAGTTCATAATGACCATACTGTTTACAGACTTCCCCAACCCCAAGACAGGGTTTCATGTAGCCTAGGTTGGTCTCAAACTATGTAGTTAAGGATGACCTTGAACTCCGGATCCATCTGCCTACCTTCAAAAATGTGGGATTACAGGCATGTGCCACTACACTTGTTTTATATTAGGTGCTGGGGGTGGAATCCAGGGAACTCTACCAATTGAGCTATATTTCTTTAGTTATTGGGCCAGTCCTGGACTCCTTCAGCCAGCTTCTGTAAGAAATAACACACAGCAGTGGAAACAATTTGAATCCAATTTAATCAGAGATCATTCCACAGCCACTCTGCTATAATCCAACCTCATCCTGCAAGACTATTTAAAAAACACTGAATCATGTTCAGCCTTCATAAAATATACTAAAATCTTGGGGACAGGTTGAGTAGATGGCTCAATGGGCAGAATGAGCATGAGGACCTGATTCAAATCCACAGCACCCATATAGAAAACTGGACACAGCTTGGAGACTGCCAGTCTAGCTGAAAACAGTAATTTTCACTTCAGCATGAAATCCTGTCTCAAGACAATGAGACAGAGATAGAGGAAGACATGATGCTCTGATCTAGCTTCTGCATGGATGTGTGCACTCTTATGCTCAGGCACATGCAACATGCTTCCACATATATGCATAGCCACACATGCACACACACACACACAAAGACAGATATCTGCTAAATAACAGGTTGGCAGAATTCACAATGAAGAAAGACATTGCTGTCCTAACTCTAAAATCACACATTTAGTACCCCAAAGGATGAGATTTTAAATATATAGTTTTTTGAGATATCTCTGTGTAACAGTCCTGGCTGTCCTGGAACTTGCTCTGTAGCCAGGCTGGCCTCGAACTCACAGATCCTCCTCCCTCTATCTTCTGTGTGCTGGGATTAAAGGTATGCACCACCATGCCTGGTGAAATTCAATATATTTTAAGAAAAAAAATACAGTAAGTTTATTAATGACTCAGCTAAAATTCTACTACAATATTTTCACACATTGTTTGCTTAATTTTAAAAATTATTTTGTGTATTGTTTTTCTGCATGTATGGCTGTGAAGCAAGTGTGTGTCTGGTACCCTTGGAGCCCAGAAGAGGTGTTGGATTCCTGGGAATTAGTTACAGTTATGTCTCCAGGTGGGTGCTAAAAATTAAACTGGGTCTTCTGGAAGAGCAGGCAGTGATCATAACCACTGACCCATCCTTCCAGCCTCTAGCATTTTAGTGTCGTTTTAATTTGCTTAAAATATGTCTAACTCACATATTTTATTCAGTAGGGCAGACACATGGAGTTGTTTACATTTCAATTTAAGCTGTGTCATTTCATTGTAATAAATCATTAACTGTGAGTATAAGATGCTTTCTGTGTTTTGTTCTGTGTTCTGTGTCTAGTGAATCACTAACACTCACAGTCACCAAAAGATCTCCAACAGCACCAGAGGAGTGATTTGCCCAAGTCTTGGCACTAGCAAGTGGTGGGTCTAGGAGATAGGTTCAGGTGTTTAGGAGTGGCAGCGTGTATGTGTGTGTGGGAGAGCCAAATGTGCTGACATTTGATAAAGGTGGTGCTCTATATTGTAAACAAGTTTAGCTTTCTTCCAAACATTTATAGAGCAAACATAATATGCAGAGTACTGCTCTAGGCATGGAAGGGTATAAATAAGGTGCAATACCGAGTGTGGGACAGGCAGCAAACCAAAGATAAATACATCTTAAGTTGATGATTCTGGGTGAATGAAGTGTTTAGGAACATTAGTCATACATGAAGCGCCTTCTCTAGTAGACATCCCTCCAAACCATTTGATAACCCCACAAAACATGCCCTGTAATTATCCACTCCCTCTTTCAGAGAGGAAATTGAGACACAGAGAGGCCAGTTGCTTGTTTGGGTCATCAAGAGAGTAACTGTCAGAGATTTGAGTCCACATGGCTTGGGCAGAAGGCCAAACTCATAGGATCTGGCTTTGTGCACATTGGTGTGTCTCCAGAGATGGAAAAGCTTAAGGAGCATTATTTCAGGTGTGTGCAGGTAGTGGGTAGAGGCTAGAAATGCTAATAGAGAGACCACAGCACTTATCACTCCCACTCATGCCTCCCTATATGCAAGTGCACCTTTCCCATTCATATGATCAGAGTGGTATCAGTCTCTACTTTGTGCTGAATGGAGGAAAATGAGGGTGTGATGATAGTAGCTAATAGTTAAGGTATAAAAGACCTCTTACTTTCCAGATTCTCTCTTTCTCTGTACCCATTTCATTGCTGTGGAAGAGTGTCATCTACATCATCTAGACAATACATGACATTGTTCTTTTTAGATTTTAGCGGCTACACACACACACACACACACACACCCACACACACACCCCTTTATCTAAGACCGGCACAGGACTGGGTCCAACAAAGCTCCAGTATGATGGTGGGGAATGACTCAAGAAAACCAGTCCCTCCCCAGAGATGTATAGGTTGTTACTAGTTGCACACACACACACACACACCCACACACACACCCCTTTATCTAAGACCGGCACAGGACTGGGTCCAACAAAGCTCCAGTATGATGGTGGGGAATGACTCAAGAAAACCAGTCCCTCCCCAGAGATGTATAGGTTGTTACTAGTTGCTGGAAACAGACCTCCCCCATCCCCAAGTCGTGTAGCTCCTTGTAAACTTGCCATGTTCCTAAATAAACTCACCAGTTTTCGAAGCTAGTCTTAGGTGGAACTGCTTCTTGGGTATGTTGTTGATGCCCTATCGGGGGTGAATACAGACATTTGTTCATCTCCTAAAGCAAAGTTCACACATTCTCTGACACACACACTTAACCCTCACCTGACAACCATATAAAATAGTGTCTATCATCATTGTCGTCATCTCGTCATCTCGTCATCATCGTCAACATCCATCATCATCAATCTACATTTACAGATGAACAAACTGGAGCTCCAAGAACCTAAATTACCTGTTCATAATGCATTCACTCTCCCACAGCTTGTAAACAACACAGCCATAATATATGGGAAGCTTCCAGAACATATCAATAGCAATAAATCACATTGCCAGCTTTGACTATATTCCCTCAAAATGGCTGATGGGATATAAATATTGTAAAAACTTGGGGAGGTTGTCTTTGTCCTTTGCATACTGTACTGGTTATTTTTCTCAACACTGTGACCAAATACCTGCTAAGAAACAACTGGAGGTGTGGAAGATTTTATTTTGGCTTACAGTTTGAAGGGCTACAGTCCTTCATGGCAGGAGTTGGGGTGTGGAGGAGTGTGAAGTGGCTGGTCACCTGTGACTGCAGCTAGGAAGCAGAGCTCCAACAGGAAGTTGGACCAAGCTATAAAGACTGAAGATGCTCCTTCAGTGTCCCACTTCCTTCAGCCATGCTCCATCTCTTTAAGGCTCTACAACATTCCCAAACTGTGTCACATACCAGAGACCATGTGCTCAAGCAAATGAGCCTAAAGGGGGCATTTCACATTCAAACCATGACAAGTGACTGCAGTTTTATCTATCCTGGGCACTTAGCATTTGTACTTTATGTGCTTTGCAAGCAGCATCATGCCTTGCTATGGTCAATGAAATACAAAGAAAAGGGCCAGGAGCTGAGCTTATGCCTTTCAGTACTAGCAGTGTCCCACAATGGTGTATGTGTTACAAGGCTTGTGCTCCTTGGAGCCTTCTGAGAGGTCTTTAGTTCATTGGGGTATGTATCTGAAAGACTGTGACCCCATCTGGCCTTGCAGCTTCTCCATTTCCTGTCTTGCCAGGGTCTTGAGAAGCTTGCTCTCCCACATGCTCCCCACATGATGTACCATCATGCCAGGGGCCCAACGCAATATGGCTACTGATTCTCAACCTGAACCTCTAGAACTGTGAACTAAATGAATCTCTTTACTTTGTTCATGGCCTTAGACATTTGAGTATAGTGATGTAAAGCCAATGTACCTTTACTTAGAAAACTGCTGCAAAGTGAAAGGAACACTGTTATCTAGTCTTGAGATGACAATAAAGAACTCAGAATACCGGTGTGCTTTATAATATAGAACTCTTTTAAAAGAACTTATAAATGAAAGAAATTGAGGGAAACTATGCAAGGGGATGGACTGAGTACCCCACTCTCTCCTCAGCCTCTCAAGTGAAAAGATGCCACGTGTAAAACTTACCTTAGAAACTGGAAATCAGGTGAGAAAATGGGTTGTCATCCCACCCACAAGAACTATGAACCCTAAGTGAGCAGGTGGGAAGTACTAGAAACCAGTAGTGGAATCCCCCATCAGGACAAGGCAACACAGGACATTCCCATAAGACCAGGTGAGGCTGCTGGAAACCCTGGGTTTCTTCTCTCCCTCTAGGCTGTCACTCTCCCAAGTGACCGGAGGTTTATTCTGTAAGTAGGGTAAATGGAAAAGGTTGCTGGTCCTGGGGACAGCAGGCCCACCTGAGAATGAAGGAGGGAGATTCCAAGCTCCATGCAGGGTTGGCATGCATCATGCTGACTGCCAGCTCCAGTCTCTTCCCCACATGGTTGCTAGACTCTGGCAGCCTGGCCTTCACCACCAATCAGAAGGTGGGAAGACTTTTCTCAGGAAACCTGACCAAGCCCCAGAGAAGGAAAGATGTTGGCATTTGGTATTCTTTAGCATGCAAGGCAAGACAAACCATTTGTGTGCTAGGATGATAGCATACTACTGCATTCCCAGCAGGAGTTCAAGGTCATCCTTAGATACACAGCCAGTTCCGGGCCAGCCAGGGCTACCATAAGCCCTTGCCTCAAACAAAGAAACAACCAGAAAAAAGAATGCAAATGATGTGTAGAATAGACAGCATTATTGAGTGGTGTGTGTATACACATGCATGTGCGAGCTCTTGCACGCAGATGCACACATATGCAGGGAGGGTGGGGACTAACGTTAATGGAGATTTAATCAGCCATAAAGAAGAACAATATTAGCTCATATGTCAATTACAGGGACACAGATGGGCCTGGAGATCATATTAAGCAAGTCAGACTGAAACATAACAATATTGTGTTTTCTCTCAGATGTACAATCAGAAAATATACATAATGAAAATCAAGGAGGGTTATTAGGAAAGAGAATGAGTATAACAGGATGGGGAGAGGCAGATGTGGGGTTGGTGACTAAGGTCCAAGTACATAAAACACTTCAACTGATATCTCATGAACTCATAGCTTTGTTACTGGATATGTGTTTATATATATTTATATATATATACACACACATATATATAACATAAATGCAAACTTACCTGTGCATGTACAGCTCTACACTACCTGATGTAAAAGCCATACTAGTGATGATGTCTATTTAAGTTCAATTACTTAAAAACTCCAGTTCTGTGCTGGGGAAATGGAGGAGTTGGTAAAGTGCCTGCCACTAAGTACAGGATCCCAAGTTCAGATGCCTAGAACACACATTAAAAAAAATCAGCACGTGGTGGTGGGGGGGGGGGCTTAGGGAAAGCAGAGACAACTTATTGGCCAGATAGCCAGCCTAGTCAAATGAGCTTCAGGTTCAGTGAGAGTCTCTGCTTCAAAAAACAGAGGTGGAGGCACCAGGGAGGTGGCTCAGCAGGTCAAAGTGCTCACAACCAAGCCTGAGCACCAGAGTTTGATCCCCAGGGACTAAATGGTAGAAGGGAAAAACTGATTCTGGTAGATTGTCCTTTGACCTCTCTCTGAATGCAAGCTGTGGTATGGGTACACCTGTATATCCACCCCCACAAAAAATAAATATAATACATTTTTAAAATGTTGGAAAGTAACCAAAGTTAACCTCAGACACATGTGTGTATCCCCCACAACCAACAATAAAAAAATGAAACAAACAGAAACCAACCAACCAACAAACCAAAAACTCAGCTCCTCCTTCATGTTAGTAGTTTTAAATGACCAAGAGCATATGAGGGCAATGGCAACTATGCTGAATAACAGAAATAAAATTACTATCAGTATAGAAAGTTGGGGCTGGAGATGCAGTCCAGAGGTAGAGTGCTTGTCCTGAATCCCCCAGTGAGGGTTTGGGGCATGACTCAATGGTAGAACACTTGACTAGAATTCCCCAGTGAGGGGCAGGGGTATTGTTCAGTAGTAGAGAACTTGTCTGACATGTAATAGGCCTTGAGTTCTATCCCCAGGAGCACAAAAAGAAACAGAAAGTCAACAGTATCTTACAATTTTTCTGCACACCCCCAGCTTGTTTTACAATACTTTTCACTCTACTGCATTATATATCACAGCTTCCTGGGTGGCCAAATCAGGGGCATAATCCTTGGGAACATTCTTTAAACAGTGGACTTATTTATGAACTTTCTTTTTGCATAGTCCATGTTGAAAAAATTTAGATTGCCCTTCCCTCACTTGTATTCTTTTTCCTAGTATGCAACTGACATCGTATCTGGGTGTTTTTGTCGCTAGAACTTCTATAAGGCAGCCAACAGCCATACATGCTGTTTCAATCAACTAAAATAAACTCAGACTCTTATGGTACTGGTTGCATTTCAAGTGCTCATTGGCTAAGCACGTCTAGGGCTCCCATATAATGTAACACAGAATCAGAGAGTCTGCACTGGGTAGAAAATTGTTGGGCAGCTTGCATTAACGGGTGTTCTGTGGCTGCACCTTAAGCACTCTACCAGGTGCTTACTGAATAAACGGATGAAGGAATGATGTGTGGCAAGAGGATGGATGAACAACCCATGAAATCTGTCAGTGTGGTTTTCCCCTCCCAATGCTGCCTCCTGTGCGACCCTACCTTGGCCTCCGGATCTGTGCGGAAGAGACCCTCAAGCACTTGGAGGGCATCCAGGACCCCGTGGTCTGGGCCCTTGCAGTGGGACAGCAGGCGGCGCACATCAGCAGGGGCCACAAACTGCTTGGAGATCTGGTTGGTGATGCGGACAGGCAGGCAGGCATTGGCCAGCAAGTGGCCCGGGCGGAAGTGGTAGGCAAACTCGCGTGGGCAGGCGGGGTGCGAGTGGGTCAGCTGGCACTCAGACACCACGAGTCGATCCCGCAAAGGGCTCAGCTTGACAGTGATGAAGGCTGGGCAGCTGGGCTGGGGAGGCCTGCAGAGGGAACCACCAGCGCCTCTGTCACAACCCTCTGTGCATTCTCAGTTCTGTTTGTTTTTTTTTCTCCCCCTCCCTCCCACCCCTCTCCTCCTCTCATTAAGTTTCAAGGATAGAGGAGTGGAGAGCCTTAAGAATACATCAGCTGGGGTGAATTTGCATAAGTCTCTGTGTTTCATTTTCTCTGTCTGCTAATAGGATCCTTGTGTGGCTGAAAAAGAATTGACATGCTTAAGAACCCCCAAAAGACTGAACTAGCATATACAACACAGTAAGCACTACACATTGGTAAAAAGTTTTACACCTCCACACCCAGCTCTGTCCAGTGACTGACCATATACCTTATTATATGACCACTAGAAAATCTTAGCAATAAAATACTTAGGGGCTGGTAAGAGATGACTCAGTGGGTAAGGACACTTGCCACTAGGCCTGATGACCTGAGTTGGATTCTCAGAACCCACATAGTGGAAGGAGAGAACAGACTCCTGCAAACTGTTCTCTGACTGCTACGCATATGCGCACACACATGTATGCACAGGCACACATGCCTGTAAAGAAATATAGTAAAGAAATATAGTATCGTAGAAAAACACTTCAGATTGTCTTGTATCTGCTTCTGGTTTCACAATACCATCTCTAGATGAGGCCTTAATGAATTCTCCCTTTCCTCTGTACTCAGAGGCAATCACTACCTGCAATTATGTCTTTTGACTTGCCATGTTTTCAAAACCACAAGCAATGAGTTGTATAGTTCTGCTTTCAAACCTTGTATATCCAGCTACTTTACTCTTTCTAGAGGTAGGAACGTCACCTGAGTCCAGGAATTCCAGACTAGACTGGGCAGTGCAGCCAGAACTCTTCTTAAATAAACCAACACATGAAAAACAGGAAACTTCAAGAATTGAGACCGACAACAGTTCCCATCATGCCATAGATGTGTCAAGGACACGTTGAAGAACCCGGGCAGTACCTACCTATGGAATCCTCTATCTTAAGATCCCAATCAACATGACTGCCTGCATCCAGGCAACAAAAGACACTGATTGGCATGTAAACAGGACTATGTATACCAGCCAGAACCTGAAACCCAGATCAACAGCAATGTGTCAAGAAAACAGGCTTTGATATACACTTAAAAATGTGATACCAAACAACACTAAGAACCAACTAACCATTACCATTTCCAATGTGGATGTACCTCAACAAAGTCAGGAACAGAAGAGCAGCCCATTGTGGGATTCCCGTCTGTGTTAAATATAAACACAGACTAAGTTCACCTCTACTGCTAGGCTTGAAAGTAGTGGCCTTTTTAGACACCTGGTCTAGTTCTAGAATTTTTATGCATGCATTTTATTTTGGCAAAGTCATCATGTTGAACATGCATAGTGTATATGTTTTCCTATATGTGTGTTGAAATTTGGAAAGAAACCCTTTGTTTTGTGAGAAAACTGGTACCCCATCACAAGTGTCCACATCCTAGTTATCAGAAGTATATATGTCACCTAACATTCAAGGGACTTTCAGATGTGATTAAGTATCTTGAAATGGGACAATTCTGGATTGTAGTAGTGGTGAGGAGGCTGATATCATCATCAGGATCTTTATGAGGGAGAGAAGAAAGTAAAAGATTAAGAGAAAGGATCAGAGCACTTGTGTGGGTTCCAAAAGCTAGAAGGGTAGAGGATTCTTGTCCCCATACCTCCAGGAGCATAGACCAGGAGGATCAGGAATTCAAGGTCATCCTCAGCTGCATAGCAAGCTCAAAGTTAGCCTGGTCTACATGAGACCCTGTCTCAAAAAAAAAAAAAAAAAAGTTTAAGCCACTGTATTTATGGTAGTTGGTTACAAAACAGGAGACAAAGACAATGGGCACCTTCTGTGCTTCCTTTGAAGACTATCATAGATCTTACCAGGCTTTCCACATGCTGACTAATGCTCCATTTTATGACCCTGACAACTATTAAAAGACTTTACAGTCATTCAATAGATATGCTTTATAGTCATAGATACGCATTTAGATACCTCTTTGTATGAGTGGTTCTTGAACTGTGGAGCAAATCCCTTTGCATGGAATCAATTTTGGTAGTTATAGTTAGTATTGTAAAGAATGAATGAGAATAGGAATTACAAATCAGTATTTGGGTTTGATCCCAGGATCTTAAAAAAATCAGTATGTTCATAATAATAGTATGTAAATTGACATCTTCCTGAAAGAGGGTTCTGCAGTATTTCTCTATGGAGTAGTGCTTTTCCCCTGGCAGGGTTTTACCTATAGAATAGTGGTTAGCAAACATTTTCTGCCAAGAGTCAGATAGTAGATATATTTCAAAAGATACTATACACACACACACACATACACACACACAATACTTATACAAATCAACAGAATGGTTGTGTTTCAATAAAACTTCATGAGTTTCAGGCTGAAAGAAGCTCCCAAAGTTTCTTAGTTTTATGATCCCTGTAACATACACAGCCTGCTATGTAGTAGGGAAGTCACAGTTCCTTGGTAATCTAGTAAATCCAGTAGCAGATCCCCCAGTATGGTCTTCCATTGTCTCCAATCTCTCATGAGACAGGTGTTAGGCCTCAGGATCAACAGCATAATGAAAAGTTCCTTTGAGACACTTCTTTTCTCTATATGCACACTGAAGAAGCCAGCAGATCAAAAAGAAAAAAA